AACACCGCCCAGGCCGGTCTAGACAGTCGCTGTAGTATATGGTGTCGTGTTGTTTCCACCAGCGTAACAAAAAAATAAAAATAAAAACCAAACTGCTGTACAGATGATTTATTAACATAGGTGTTGCACAGGCATTTGACGTGGAGTGAGAATGGTTTGAATATTCGTGATAATCTCAACTTTCAGTTTATATTACTGTGAATGTGCTGCTTAAGGGAAAGAATGGGAATGGTGGAAAAAAAGGTGGGAGGGGGCCCTTGGAGGTAACTGGCCCCGGGGCCTTTTGAAGTCATAATCCATCCCTGCTTCTGAGGAGCGTTTATTTCTTCATCTCTCAATCAGGATTGCATTGTATTATATGTTTGGATCATTTCAGTCTCATCTTACTAAGACATATTATTGGCGATATAGTGACGACTGATATTTAGATCATTTTATGTCAGTATCTGCTCTACTGTTATAAAGATCTCACTGATTTACATAACAAGCATCAGAATTTCTTCATACAAATATCAGTAAAATCGAGCAGTTTTTTCCTCCATATTCTCACATTATCAGACTATATGAGCCATAAAAGTCTGACGCATCAAATATGATACTCAAAAAAAAGGCATATGCAAACTTTTTTTTACTTAAAAAACAACTTAGTCTAAACATTCAATAAACAGTCCCATTTCAATAATTGTTATTTTTCTGACTACTATTTCATATATGAGACTTTATAGGGTTAAAGAAGAATGATTGCAACAGAGGTAAGAGTTTAAGTAGAAATAATGTGCAATACTCTGACTATATTCTCTTTATCTCTTGATATCTGAACTATTCCCTAAACTTGACGCAATAACAAACAGAAGCGCTGTGTCTGCTTGTCTCTCTGTCCACTCAGTGTTTGACATGAGAGAGTGTTTCTAGTCTCTTCTCCAGGAGTGATGCTGATTTCTCAGCTGCTGAACAGAGGCCTGTCAAACACTGAATTACTGAATTAACAAAACACGCTTCACGCTGAGACTTCATCCTCAAAGAGCCATTAGATGTGCAACTACAAACCAGTGTACAACCAGCTGAGAGCAAACGAGCTCGCTGTAATGGACTAAATTCAGATTGCTGTTAGATCATGTATTGGCAAGTTTAAAAACTACTAAATCAAGAGTGATGTTCGGAGCTCATTCTAACTTTCAGCACATATACTTTCAGCTCGGATGCACTACTGTAAATCTCACAGTTAATCGAAGTCTCTGAAGCACATTTAATGAGACAATCCCTGTCTATTATATTTGCATCTCATTAGGCTTCGGTTAATACGATTCCAAACATCAAGAGTAATTTGAGATTAAAACTGTGATTAAAATATTTTTTTCCAGGGATGGATGATGAACTGAGGAAAAAAAGTAGCATTTTTATTTATTTTATCATTTAAAAACATTTTTTAAATATTCAACATTTGAAAAAAGAAAAATTTAATTTGTACCGATGGGGCGTTTTACCCCACAGTTGAGGTAAAATGCACAAAGCAATTTGCTTTAAACATTTACAGCAAAATCAAAGTACAGACAGTTTTTGCTTACAATTAAAAAGAATACAATCAATAATTATGAATTACAAAATTATAATTGCCTATTTGAAACATTTTGTTAGCTGATTCTAACTGGCTAGCTAACTCGCTACCTGATGCTAACTTGAGGTAATTTTTAAATATAAAATCCAAATGTTTTTATTCAACCAACTAGTTAGCATACATTTGACAGAAAAACAAAGGATTTGATGTTCAGAACAGAATGACTACAGTAATTGCTCACTGTCCCCTCGGGGCGTTTTACCCCACAGACAACTTCGTAAAACATAATTTAAAACATTTTAAGGATTTAATTTAAGGTTTGAATAAGAAGTATGGATGCTGATTTGCACCTTTTTAAATATGTATAATGTATTAATCCATGTATATATATTTTATTTAGATACAGTAATGGCGTATAAATGTTATTAGTGATATTAAACGTTTAATATTTACAGCACGTTTTAAGTCTGGACTGTTTTAGGAAACGCGTTTGACCCTGCACCGTTGCTAAGAGACATGCATCCAACCTCTCAACATAAAACAGAAGTAAATAATAAACAAAAATCAATAGATTTATTTTTTTACCTCAATTTTAACCGCGGAGCTGCTGTTCAGAAGCGAGTTTGAACGGCTCATGAAGAAGCGGTTTTCAAACATATAAATTGTATAGGTTAATTGGTTAGCAAACAAGCCAGAGTGTGCATATACTGCATCCAATCAGTCATCTCGACGTTACTAAACACACACACACACACACACACACAAAGACGACTGACTGGTGCTGATGTTGACAGCTGCACTTTTAGCCAAGCACTATCAGCAGACAGATGTGATGATTCATGAGTGACGGGTTTTTAGCACGATAACGGATCTGATTCTGAATGTATAACTGTGTAAATGATCATAATGCCTAAATATAAGTTACATGGTAAAGAGTGGGAGAGTGTTTTAACTCTCAAAACATGAATTACACCTGTTGAGGGAGAGATGACACGAATCTCTAAACTCACTGCAACTCTGAAATCAGAGCACAGTTAAGTTATTTAATCAAAATCTATTTACATCTATACGATCCTTTCTTTTATCTTTTAAACGGTCCAGATTGTTAAATCCTTAAAACCCCTAAAGACTTGATTAGTTTTGATGCTGTTGAATATGGCATGTTCTACAATATAGGCTACTTCACAAAAGACTTCCTCAAGTTCTTTGTGAAATTATAGAGCGACACGAAGGTAAGCACATTATTGTTGTTATGTATTTTTGTAATTGTCGGATTATCATACAGTATGCATCAATGAATGACACAGTTTTGACTGTCATGTGTGTGCATGAACGAGTGTGAAATACCTGCTAATGACGTTGCTTTTTCCCATCACTGATATTGGGCACTTTTTTGCATTTAAATTCTGACTGTTAACATTAAAAATGATGCATGTGTTTTTTGGAGGGTATCGGTTAATTGCCGTTTTGACAGTGTCTGCTTGTATATTTTAACAATATTTGGTAATTCTCTTTAATGTATTTGCCCCGATTAGATCCATGGGAAATGTATCTAAAGTTATATGTAGTAGCTATATTATTTTGTCGTCATTGTTTTGTTTTAAGGAGGTAAAATGGCTCTTATCAACCTTGATGGACATATTCTATCACATTATTTTGGCAGTTAATGTTTTGGGCGGTTTTTTGTTGGAGTGGGCGGGTTTTTGTGAGCTTTTGTGCTGGAAATCTTCCGTCCAATCTGGCAACACTGCAGGTGAGTCAACGCTCCAGGTAACTTCCGCCTTCATTTTTCTCCTGAAGGACATGTGTTCTTTGAAATGTGTTTGATATCTTTATTTTTAAGCAGATGAAGTGGTTTCGTTGCTGTTTCGTGTTGTCTGTGGTTGATTTCAGCATTTGTGTTCACATAAGACTAACATCGTGTAGCCTATTTGAGTGAACGCTGTTTCTGGACTCTCAGGATCCGTTCAGCTGAATGACTAGTTTGTCATTTCCACACAGAGTAAGTGCTGGAGATCTCACTCTTCTGTCTGTTCAGCTTCCTTACTTAAGTACACTTTCAGTATCGGTACTTTACTTGAGTATTATTTTTTTTTGGAAACTTATGACTTTGACTTCACTACATTTGAAAGACAAATATTGTACTTTTCACTTCACTACATTTCCATCAATGTCCTCCAAGTAGAAGTCGTTACTATGTAGCAGCTTTTAAAGTCAGTGGGTGATTATTTTTTTTCTTTTCTAAAACGTGACTTTTTGTTAGACACCTTATTTTTCCTGTAAAAGCGGGTGCGGCCGTCTGGCTTCCGGTGTCATCCGCTTTCCAGCTATTTTTAGCTGAACAAAACAGCTTGTTTTGCTGCTTGATAATACAAACTGACGTGTCTTACCTTATTATTGTAATGTATTATCTTAATTATGAACACACTGGTTTGTTTAGCAAACAGTATTACCGTTTACAGCACTTTGTTATTCTCAATATTTCCCTACAGCTGCTAATGAACCGGAAGTCTCGCACATTCACAGAAAATGGCTTTCTTCCACGTGGATAAGTAATCACTCTTGTAGGGCTTTATGAAGTGATTTCCCAGCATTTTTTTTTAACACTGACCAGTTGCAAATGTGATATTTATTTACAACAATTAAATGATAATAAGTTAATATTGTGATATATATTAGACCCAATATTGTCTGATTTTGCAAAATTGTGTAAACGATAATATTATCTATAAAGCCACAGAAGAACTGTTGTGCGTTTCCTAATAAAGCACAATAGGTGTTTGACTTCAAGCAGCACTGCACAGATCGTTCTGTGTGTGACATCAAAGTAAATTTTGATGTAAAATAAATCTTGCTTGTTTTGTTGCTGTTGTAAAGTTATCCAGCTATAGTTGTGTTGCTGGGTTTTAAAGCAGGTTTGATCTTTTTCTTATCAGTCTGTATTTACAGCAATTCCACTGTCCACTCGGTTCAAATGTGGATGAATGGCTTTACATAGATGTGTGCACACACTGTCAGAGCTGTGAGATCACTACCATGCTGCTTTTGTGAGGGGTGGGTCGGGCTGTTAAATAATAATTTTTTTTTTTTTGGTCAACTCACTTTTTTAGTTTCTGTAGGTTTTTAACATTCTAAAACTCTTTACTCCAAAGATACTACAAGCTAGTCAGTGTATTCAGTAGGTGTAATGTGTTGTAAGTTGCTTCAGAGGCATATGGTATTGCAAGTATTACATACAACAATAATAAAGCAATGCGTTGACATAAAAAAAGGAAATTTATTTTTGGTACTTAAGTGCTTTTAAAAGCAAGTACTTCTGTACTTTTACTTGCGTAAAAATCTGTCTTTACAACTTTCACTTGTAATGGAGTAATATTTGACCAGCAGTATCTGTACTTTCACTGAAGTAATGGAGTTGTGTACTTTGTCCACCTCTGTTCAGCTTCATAATGGATGACACACAAACATCCCGAGATGAAGATTTTTCTCCAGGATGCAGGTATTTTGAATACATACTATATAAACCCTAATAACGGCAAGACCATAAAGAGACATTTTATTTTTTGCTATTATTGATCTTATTAGAACACAAATAATACAAATTCGTGATTTTATTTAAAGAACTTTTATTTTTGATTTTAATGTTTGTATACCCATAAACTGATTGAAAACAGAATGCTTGTTTGGCAATGCGTGTTACAACATTTGAGCTACATTTTATAAAACATTTGTTGTAATATTGTTAAACAATAATGTATATTTATGAATATATTATGTTTTGGCCACCGAGGCCGTCTTGGATGGGATCTCCAGTCATGTTTTGCCCACGGAGAATGATCCTTTCTGTAACGCTTTGCCCTCTGATTCTGTTCTGGCCATGAAGACCCTTTCAAAGCATTCATGTCTGCCTGCCAAGGCCGCAGAGACCGCCTTGGGCCTATCATCCAGTTTAGTCATAACCACAGAAACTGAACCTGACAGCGATACTACTTCCTCAGAATCTGCTCCAGCCCTGTTCACGGAGGCTATTTCTGGGCGTCTTGATCTGCCTGCTATAGCCACAGAGGCTACCTCTGAGCTGCACACTAGCCAGTAAAAACACAGTAAAGGAATCTGTATCAGCCCCAGCATTGTGTACATCTTCTAGAGCCGATGGAGCCTCTGAAACGGTGCATGATGTCATCTTGATGCAGGAGTCGTCAAAGACTGCATCTATTCGAGACCCCAAACCCAGTTGGAAGTTCCCATCAGGGGGGAGGGCCCCTATCTCTAGAGGTATCCCTAATCGGACGCCTATCCCACCCTCAGTGTTGCCTGGCTGGCATGCTCCTCCAAAGTTGCCACCTTTTTGGGCAGTCCCAAGATATTCCCCTGGACTGCTTTCTGCCCTGCCCCCTGTGTTTCCTGGCTACTTTGGACCTTAAATCTTTCCTCCCCACCTGCCCCCCCAGTTGGTACCTCTTTGGTCCTGGAGGCGTCCATCGGGGGGGGGGATGGGGGGGTACTGTCAGGGTCCCATATGTTCTGTCTTTGTTTAGCATTTCCTTGTTTGTCTTGAGTCTGAGCACATGGCTTTGTCTTTATTTATGTTGGCCATGTGCTCCTCTCGTCATGCCCCCTTGTTTCCCTCTGCCACGCCCCCTTGTTTAGTCCTAGTCTAGTCCTCGTTAACTTGATTATGTCCACCTGTTCCTCATGTGCTCTGCTCCTTTATAGTGTGCCTCTTTCCTCATGTCTTTGCTGGTTCGTTGCGTTAGTTCACTGCGTGTAAGATAATTCCGTATCAGTCTACTTGTCATATTAGTATTGTTATATTCTTAATTCCTAGTCAGTCTAGCTTTGCATTTAGTTCTCTTGAAGTTAATTTGAGTTTCTTTGCTTTTTGTTATTTTGCTCTAGTCTAAGTACAGTCTTAGTTTACTCTAGTTTTTTCAAGCCTCTAGTTTGATTTCTTTCTTTATTTTGATTTTGTCCTTGCCCAGTTTTTATTCTAGTCATAGTGCATAGTCGGTGTGTTATTTTGCTGCTGCCTGTTCTCTCTTGTGGCCTTGTCTTGTGTGTCGTGTTATGTCTTGTGTTGGTTCCAGTTCTGTGTCCTGAATCCCTCCTGGCTGCTGTTCTCAAGACCTGGCTATCTGACTGGACTGGTATCACTACAGCTCAAAGTATCAAGCCCTGGATTCTCAAGCTGCTGTCTGAGATCCAGTGTTCTCATTGACTGGGGCTGCTCTATCTCCTTTGTTCTCCAGCAGAACTTTATCCAGGCCTGACCAGGGACTAGCGGACTGCCCTTTCCTATTGTTTGGACTCTCACATGTGCCCTGATAATCCTTGTCTTGTCCATAAACCGCACTCCCTTGATCATTCTGCATCTGGGTCTCTCTCTCTGACAGAACCGTGACAGATTTTAATGTTTTATTTTTAAAGATCCTTTATTAAAATAAATGTCATCATCATCTGTTCAGCAGAAGAGATCAGAGCCAGAGCTGTGTGTCATATTTGTATTGTGTTTTTGTTTTATATTAGGTATTTATGGTTTTGTGGTATTTGTATTAGTTATTATTGCAGACAGTCTATGAAATAACTTTAGTTTCTGTATCAACATAGTTAAAATGAAAAGATCATATTTAAATCAAAAGTTAATATTAATACAGAAATTCAAAGGATTCTTTTTTTATAGTTCAGTTCATCAGAAGAGATCAAAACCAGAGCCCAGATGTGTGTCTATGAGGAGCGGCGAGTCTATAGGTCATCCACAACATTTCAGGTACAATATTTAATTAACAGACAGAATTAAGATATTTTATTAAATTCAATTCAAGTTTATTTGTACAGCGCTTTTCACGATACAAATCGTTGCAAAGCAACTGTACAGCAAATTAAGTTTCTACAATATTTAGTAGTAGCTTATCAGTGGTGACTGTCAGTTAATGTACATATGGCAGAAATGTACGGAAAAATCAATTAAAGATGTAATCAAACAGACGATGAACACTATTAACAGCAATTATTATATGATGCAATCAAACTTATAGCAAAATATGGTAGTTCTGTATTTTGTTTCATGATTCGCATCATCCGAGGTCCTCTGAGGGGTTGCATCATCTCTTCTCAGG